CCCGCAGCTCGTCCCCCGGGCCGGCGAGGAGGCCGGGAAGGGGCGGTCCGGTTGGGAGAGCCCCTTTTCCGTCTTCCCTGATGCGGGGACTGGATGGAATTTGACAGGCTGGGGTCAGGGTTGTTGGCTTCCTTCAGAAGCTCCACATGCGGGCTTCCTCTGGAATCCCGAGAGTGACCAGGTCGCTGAGGACACGTTGAATAGATAGCGGCTTGCTGCCTCAGTTTCCTTGTTGTGTAAAATAGAGGTAAAGCAGCCTCTGGGCTCCCTACTGGCCATCCCACGGGGCCGGGGGCGTTGCGGGACAACGTGAGGTAACACAAGCATGTGACCCTGTGGAGACAGGCGGTTATGCTGAGAACGCGGTGGCCCGCGGCCGGCAGACGAAGGTCTTGTAGGTAGGGGTCTTTTCCCCAGTTTTGCCTTCTCCCGTCCCTCCCCTCATCTGATCATGGATCATGCTTTGAACCCGATGGCCGATCTGAACTGTTGTCACTGAACTTGGTGGAACAAGGATCAAGAAATCACTGGTACCATTATCACAATGTTCTTGTCAGTTACGAGGCCCCCTTGTCTGGTTTCCGCAGAGAAAATATGAGCGTCCTGGAACGAGGGCATACTCAACAGAGACACTGAATTTTAGGGGTTGTTGCTGTGTCGGTTGTAATATCGCGTCATCATAGCTGGCTGACTGACTTTCTTGGCTTGCCAGGGGCTGGTACATTATTGATGAGTTAGTGCTATGCTTGAATACTTCTCAAATTCCGGGACAAGGATTTGTCGGGAACTCTGAAGGGAAGACTGTTGGGCACGCCCCAGGGTGTATTTATTCAGGAGATTGAGAGATCACATTTCTGTAAATTCGGCACAAGGGCGTAACACCCTTCCATCTTAGTCTAAGGATCCGTAGAATCGGAAAGCAGGGGTTCGCATTTTTGCGCTGGCAATGACTAGCTTTGTGTCCAAAGATAAGTCACCCAGACTTGGAACTTTCTTTTTCCTCTCTAAAACGGGAGACGATGGTATGTCAGCTGTTGGCTTTTCAAGGATCAAATGAGATCATGAATGTGAAAATGAAAGGGTGGCTAAGTCGGTATTGTTACTAAGAAATTCACACTGGTCCCCTAGCCTGGATAAGAGATGTGTGCTTTCAGAGTCAGGTTCTGAGTCAGAACTAGAAATAGAGCAGCAGATAAGATGCAGCCTCCACCCTAGTGGAGCTTATGTTGCAGAGGGGAATCAGGCAACAGAGAATGGGGACATGATACTGTTTCAGAGTGATGTATACAGTGAAGCGAAGGAAGGCAAGAACAACAGTGGGAGAGCAGGGCAGGTGGTTTCTGATGGGGTCAGGTGGTACCTTTCAAAGGAGGTGACGGTAATTGACTGAAGGGAGAGGAAGAGCCTGATGGAAGAACATTTCAGGCAGGAATGATCATCTCAGTAAACACTTACATAGAGCTTACTAAAAGAGGCAGCCTTCTAAACACTAAGTGAATTTTTTACAACCTTCTGGGATATGTACTGATATCTCTATTTTTATAGATGAGGAAATGGACACACAGATAGGTTAAGAATTTGCTCAAGATTGCACAGCTAAAACATAAAAGGGACAGTATTTGAATTTGGGCAACCCGACAGTTGTACAATCCTGCCTCACAGCTGGGGCACCAACAGAACAGTGCTCTGAGGTGAGAGCAAGCCTGAGGGGGCCAAGACACAGCCAGGTGAGAGTGTTTAGGACACAGCAGGAAGGGGGAAGGTGGTGGTGGATGATGTGACAGGGCCAGACTCTGGGGGCCCTTGTAGGCCATGGTGGCATGAAGATGCTGCTCTAAGTGTGGTAGGAAACCTCTGGAAGGTTGATATCCAGGGAGTGGCATGTGCTTTCAGTTTTGTTGGATGGAGAGTTAGCTGGAGGGCCATGGAGGGGAAGTAGTGAGAGTGGGGAGATGGGAGGCTGCCCCTGGGGGAGAGGTGCTGGGGTCTTGGGTGGGGGAGGTAGTTGGAGAGAAGATGGTAACTTTTGAAGCCAGAACTGCTGGTGTGGGCTTACTAGCTGGCGTGTGAGGAAAAGGAAGGAGCAGTGACTTCCTCGGTTTTACGCTGGAACAACTGGATGAATAGTGGTGCTGTTTATGGAAAAGGGAGAAAGGGGTTTGGGAAGAAAACCGTGACTTCTGTTTTGGACAAGTTTTCTATGCTGCACGGGCACAGCAGCAACAGTACTGTGCTGGTAGACAGTGAGCCGAGGCTGCGTGAGCTGTGTGCTCTGTGGGGTTTTAAGCATTTTTACGTATATGAATTCATTTAACTCTTAAAACAGTTGTCTGTGCTAGGAACCATTGGGATCCCCATTTTACATGTGAAAGGAGAGGCACAGAGAGGTTAAAAGTCACCTGCCTAGTGGGGAGGGGATGGCTCAGTGGTAGAGTGCCTGCTTAGGATGCACAAGGGCCTGGGTTCAATCTCGAGTACCTCCATTAAAGTAAATACATAAATAAACCTAATTGCCTCCCTCCCAAAAAAAAGGAAAAAAAAAAATAAGCAACCTGCCTATGGTCATCCAGCTTGAGAGCGATGGAGTGAGCTGGGATTCAAACCCAAGCAGTCTGGCTTCAGAGTCTGGGTGGTTGGTCCCAGTAGCTACCCCTAAGGCGACACACTGAGTAGGCAGTTGGATGAATGAATATGAAACTTGGGAATGGTCAGGGCTGAAGACATGAAGACACACATTTCTGCTTCTAAAGAGAAAGCCTGCTTTTGGTCCTCATCTAAGCCTCGACTGGCAAGCCCGGGGCTCTGCTACCTGGCCTTTCAGTACTTGACTCTGTTCATGTAGCCAAGAGTCAGTACCCCACTTCCGGGAGTCTCCAGAGGGTGAGATCTGCAGCCCTGGCCCTTCTTTGTCTCTAGTCCCTAATCCAGAGCCTGCCATGGAGGGGAGGCGAGGGATAACTTTGCAGGACACTGGGTTAGGTTTGGGGCCTTCAGAGATGAATAAAACATAGCTGCCTTTCTGGAGGAGCAGAATACAGGGAAGGACCTGCGGGAATAAAACTAGAGCAGGCTAAATGCATCACTGCAGCGTGATGACTTCAGTCTGGCCTTCTGGCCACCCCCTTGCCCCAGACGCTCAAGGAGTAGGGCAAGAATGGGTCAAAGGGGACAGAGAATGAACAATCCTAGGGTGAATTTGAGGCTCCTAAAGTGTCCTTTTCAACAAAAGAATTACTCAGAGTGCGTCGGTTACTATATTTGCATTCGTTTTGTTTGGCAACTGTATAATTCTTACCAAATGAAATAAAATTCGATATTTGAATATCACGGGGGAGTGATGAGTTTTCCCAGTTCTGTTACGTCAGTGTTGACAAGGCACACTAGTGAAATAAGGGAGTTGGCTTGAAATGTTGCAGCTTGCGTACTAGAGGGTGACGGAGGGGTTGTGTGAAGCATTTAGGCAGGTTTCCACCGGTTTAAGTGTGTCCTGCCAAAGTTCCACACATTGGAGTAAGTTTGAGTTTCTCTGCTGATCGTCCCTTTAACATTGAGCAAGGTTTTTTGTCATGGAAAGAGGACCTGGTGCTATTTGCCATAGGCGGAATTGTAGATCGCATCTCTTATATGTGGAATGAGGTGGAAATGAGAAACTTGAACAATACAGACAAAAATAAGGATTTTTATTTCTGTCGATCTCTTTTAGGGTGTACAGTAACCTCCACACATTTCTCATGAGTTTGTTTCTTCTTAATAGAACTATTTCAGATTCGAGCCATTAAAAGATTATATACATTTACACCAGTGTAGATTTTATAATTGATCTCAGTTTTTTTCCTTACAATATATAGAATTATATTTTGTTTAGCTTTTTGAGCTTTCAGTGGGAGAGTTGACCTGAATAACCAGAACTCTATATAAGCAGGAACCCTCCACAAGTACAGATGTGGAGATGTGCTGTCTCATTTTGCAGGTCACAAAATTTTAGATTTGCTGTTGTGACATCCCTAAATTTAATGCAATAGAAGTGATTAGTTTTTTTTTTAATCATAATTGCAGTTAGCTTAAAGAACATTACATGTGGTAGGAAGTAGAACTTTGTCTTAAATGACCTGTTGATGTCTCAGGCTTTGTCATTGCCTTTTTAAATTCAAATATTATTTTATCACTTTCAAAGTTCAGGCTCTGGGAGAGCAGGTTGATGGTTATTTAATTGTATCAGGTAGCACCCAGCAGAGAGAAGGTAAGCCCTTCTACTTTTTTTTTCTTTTTTTTTTAAAGCCTTTTTCTTTTAAAGGAGCTACTTTATAAAATTTTATTTATGTATTTATTTATTTATTTAGATATTATTTAGTGGCGGTACTGGGGATTGAACCCAGGACCTCCTGCATGCTGAGCTTGAGCTCCCACTGAGCTATACCCACCCCCTCAAGCCCTTCTATTTGAAGGCAGCAGAAACCACTCAAACACTGATCAGATGAAATATAGCATCCTAGGTAACTTATCCAAATTTCTTTTATATTTACATAAGCAGATTTAAATACTACTATGTTATGTTAAGAGTACCGATGTAAATATATAGAAATTGCAGAAAACAATGTGTCTAGCCTACTGATGGTATGTAGTGGGCATTATATATTCTTAAAATCCCACTGTGGTTTTTTTTTGTTTTTGCATATTTCTTTCAGCATACTAATACGATATCTTTGCAGTAATAGCTGAATACTAGTTTGTGTACTTTTACTTAATATTATAAATGTTTGAATATATTTAATTTTAATAATTTAAATAGATAAATAGCATTTAATTTTGATTCATTTCATATTTGATTACTTAGGAATTAAAGTCTTGAGGATTGTTTTTTTTTTTCAGTTAAACACCAATTAATAATAATTAGGAAGTCTGGGTAGAGACTAGCTTTAGTGAGAGATTAACCAAGTTGTCATCTTAGAGGAATTCCCAAGAAGGGAATTCTTAGAGAAGGGTAAGCAAACACAGCATGTTGATGGAAGAGATCATTTAACCATAACTCCCTGCCATACCTATAACTCTTCTTAAGATGTTCCTGCCCTACAGACAGCGTTCTTAAAGCCAGTTCTCCTACTGCAAAACTGCTAGTTTCAAGCTGCACTCTAAGCCATCAATCTACAGAGAGAGAAACATGAGGTAAATACTGGAACTGTAGCTCAGTGGACCTCAACTGGGGATGACTTTGTCCCTTCCTCCAACTCACCCTGGGGACATTTTTGGTTGTCACAACTGTGTGTGGGAGACATTGTTCCTGTCATCTAGTTGGTGGAGGTCAGGGATGCTCCTGAATATCCCACAGTGCACGGAGCAGCCCAACATCAAGGAGCTTATCTAGTTCAAAATGTCAGCCCTGCTGATGCTGAGAAAGCCTGCAGGCTGTAACTTTCCTCTTCTACCTCTCCCCGTGCTTTAGAAATGGAAGTGGTAGTTGTAAATGGCAAACACCTGACCTGAACAAAAGACTGTGTTGAACTGTGGAGAGCTGCATTCATTTGGTTCATTTATTGTATGGAAAAAAGTTCTTGTAGCTGATAGCCTGGAATTTCTGTGTGGTTGCCAATGTGTCTAGTGTTTTGAGTATGTTTTTAGTTTTCAGATTTTTTTAGTAAAATTAGTTTATTGTGCAATTAATATTATTTTTATAATAGATATTTATAATATAATAATCAATAATTGGGCATCCTGGCTTGTAACAGGTTTGCTAGTATGAATCTTCTTCATTTTTGTGCATATGGAATGAACTGTCTCACAGTTATATGGTTTTGGTACATTTAAAAAAAATCCTTTTCACATTAGTTTTCATATGTGATTGTCATAAACACCCCATGAAATATGTCGAGCAGGCATCACCCTCCCTATTTGACAGATACAGAAACAGAGATCAAATGACTTGCCATACGTATTATAGCAAGTTAGTGGCAAGAGTGAATCTAGGACTCAGAGGTTTTGATGTTTAGGATATTTTTTAAAGCTGCTAGTTATTGTTATCTCATTTAATCTGTGTGACAGTCCTTTGCAATAGGGTCGTTATTCCTATTTTGTAGACATGGAAACTAGTTCAAAGATACTGGATTGGTCACAGAGTTTATAATGTAGTTTTGACTGTAGTTTCAGCTGCCTTTCCACATACTCTAAGAAATAAATTTGGTACTTTCTGGATACATTTGCCAAATCTATGCCTAAGCTAAGTCGGTCTCCTGACACTGTAGGTGAGGGGGATCCTCCTCTGCCCTCTTTGAGTCTCTGGCTGGGCCTAAGAGTGAAACTGACATAAGACAGACTAACAGGAGAAAAACATGCAGATTTTATTAAACTTTTACATACACCTGGGAGCCTTCACGAGAGAATCCAGGCCTGAAGAAGTGACCAGAGCAGGAAGCTGTTGTACATTTTAGACAAAGAAACAATACATTTGTGAAGAATTGACAAGACAGAGGGGTAGTAAGCGGGGAAGAGGGAAGAGGAAGGGAAGGGGCAGTGTAATAAGATTTGTTTGTGCAGATTTCTCAGCCCCCAGTTCCCGTCTCTGCTGATAAGAATGTCTTCCTTCCTTCTGGTCCAGGGAAATCACCTTTCATGTGGCAGTTTTATCTCTTGCTTTCAGGAAGGACAGAGGAGACTCACCGTGTCCTTCGTGCACCTGATATTTCTTAAATGCCTTTAGTTCAAAATAATCAGTATGTCAGAATGGCGTATTTTGGGGTGACTTTCTGGCTTCCTTCAGCATGTAGGCAAATGTTCGTGTGGTCAGTTGAATCCATAGGTAATTCATGTTTGTACTCCTTCTCTGATTGGACTTGAGTGGAAACTTCACCGAGTTGACAGACCATAAGGTAGCACCCCTTGCTATTTAGAATTTATTTTTTGAAAACACGAAGCCCAAAATCAGGCCAAGGACGTGGCTCTCAGCTGTATTAGAGTATACTTGGGGAAGGCAACCCTCTTGCACGGTTCACTTTGCCAGTCTGATGGAGGGATTTGTATTTGGGGTAGGACTCCCATTCACTCTAATTTTCTTTTCCTTTTTTGGGGGGTGGGGCGGGGAGGGAGGTAATTATGTTTATTTATTTAGTTACTTTTTTTTTTTAGAGGAGGTACTGGGGATTGAACCCAGGACCTCACACATGCTAAGCATGTGCTCCACCACGTTGAGCTATACCCTCCCCTCTCATTCTAATTTTCTAATTAGAATCTATATTATTCTCTTCAGCCATCTTTTATGTCATATTTGAGACAGTTGCTCTTACTTTTTCCCCATGCTGACCTAAACCTCAAACTGACTTGACTTCAACAACAAACAAAATGATAGCATAATGGTTGGGTTTTATTTTTCTTTCTGAAACATTTGTGGTTCATCTTACTCTAAGTGAGTACATGCATCACTCTTTGTGAGGTGCTGGGAGCTGGTGACAGTCACTTCATCTTCTAGACTGAAAAATGTAAGAGGAGATGATCAATTTACCCAAGTAAACCAGCCTCAAAGATAGGATTTAGCATTTAGGTTTTAAAAAACCAAGCCACACTATCATTTCTCTCAGATCAAAAAGAGTATCTACTTAAATATTTGATCAATTACCATTTTGTTTGAGGATTATTTGATGATACTCAGTTGTTGCTACTAGTTTTAGTAATTGGAGATTTTAATATTTCATATGGTATCCATCGGCTGGATTTGGACCACTGATAGTATGAAATTGTGGGTCTGCGACTTAGAGAAGGAAAACGTACACCTTTGTTAGTGCAGCTGTCGATCCGGCAAGAAGGATTATAATTAGAATTAAAAGGTGAAGATTCCCAACATTCCATAAAACTGAATTATTATAACAAAAATATTTTTCTTACCTCCATGAAGAAAAATGCTAATACCCAAGTAACCATAATATTTATTGTGTGATGGAAGGGCGAGACCGCCACTGGCGTGCAGCTGAGACAAAGCTGAATTTCATACTTGCTAAGCAAAGGAGAACTGTGCTTGCAGAATATAGTTTTCAAAGCAGGCAGAGATGTACTTACATTGGGTTTTGAAGAAGCATAGGGTTTTAGGATTGATTTTTATTGAAATGTGAGATAATTTAAGGATTGGTTGACTTTAAACTTGGAGTTTAGGGACTGACTGGCTTTGAGGAGCCAGGGCTGTGACAGGGGCAGTTGCTGATCGGCTGCCTTTCTCAGCTGTGTCCTTCAGGGGAAAAACTGAGTGGAGTTTAAGGATTGATTGGGGCATTTTTAAAACCGGTGCTGTGTTTACTTGTCCTCAGCTTGGGACAAGCACCAAAGAATCATCTTTTCCTTTTCTTGAACTTGGAAAATAAGTACTTTGAATTTTCCACATTTATGTCAAACCTTTAGCAGTTGTGCTGATACAACACTTTTGATTTTACTTTTCTTCTGAAACTTAAAAATAAGAAATGAGCACAGAGAATATTATTTGTGCCCTGTTTGCAAGTCTCAGGGGTCTGTGACATTTGAGACCCAGGCCGTTTCAAGGATTATTTTTATATGTAGTTAAAAAAGGTCATTGTCATTTATGGAAATACTTTTAATGCTTTAAGTATTACGGCGAAAGCCGTGTCACTTTTATGTTTATCGGTCTCTCTCGTGGCAGTGTGTTGTATCATATGCCTGCCAAAATTAGGCTTGGTGGATGCTGAATTCTAGATCTAAAAGTTTTTGTTTTTGCTGTTGTTAGAAACATGTCTAGAAGTGATTACCATTTGCAAGTTTGCTAGCAGTTCTTAACACGTTAAAAGGTTTCATAATTATGTTGTGTGTCTTTTATGTAAGGTAGGCTGAATCATTGTAGTTTCTGTGAATACCACGACTATTATTGTATCATTTAAAGTATTTTGGTTTAATATTTATTTTAGAATATTTTTATTCTTCAGAATGAAATAGCTGTTTATGACTGTTAACCAGAACTATGATAGAAAGTAGATATTTTTCTAAATTGATCACAGTTATAGGTGAGTTTTCAAAATGTTTTCCTGTGGAGATGTTAAATTTGGAGGGCATCATTTATCTTAGAAGTTAGAGAAGGCAAAGTGAGTTTTGGTATTCCTTACTTATTGTATTGAAATTTTATTTAAAACACCCTACATAGGATATTGACATGAAATAAGCCCATGATATTTAAAAAAGAACGGGTGCTGTGCGTGTTGTGTCTGTGTTTATGCGGCCCCTGTTTCCTTCTTGTGTCTGCCTTCCAGATAGGGATTACCCAGGCTAAAGCTGTGTTTGCTTTCTTGTTTTTGCTTATGGTCCAAATTTCTGACCTGATGTGATAGTTAACCTTAAGAGGTTAATCTTCACCTAGTATCAAAATTAATATTATGATTTTCTTTATGAGAGCACTGTTGTTTAACTACCACATGATACTCAGACATATTCATCCTCAACATTTAATTTTTCAAAATTTATACTGAATAAGTACTTAAACTTTCTAGGAAGAAGTCATTGCTGCCTGACTATGGTTATTGGTATTACTCCTGCACAATCTACAATATGAAGTAATGGATTTGAAATGTGGTTTTTCTCTCTGCACATGCGGTGAATAGTTGGGCTTTTATTGCCTAGTGATATGATCAAAAAAAGAATCTTAGGCTAGGTGATCTTTCATAGTAAAATGGAAAAAAAACCGGTTATATGCTCTTTAGTAAAAGCCTTATTTTCTAGACTTTGCTAACACGATGTATAAAGTGGTATCACATAGTTTTAATTTGCATTTCTTTGATTACCAGTGAGGCTCAGCTTTTCCTCATTCTCTTGTTGGCCGTGTGGATTTCACCTACAGTTGCCAGATTTAGCAAATAAAAATACAATACGAGACACTGTTAAATTTGAATTTCGAATAAACAACAATTTTTTTTTTTAGCGTAAGTATATACTATACAATAGTTGGGACGCACACTAAAATTTTTTTCATTGTTTATCTTTAATTCAGACTTAATGGGGCTTCCTGTATTTTATCTGACCCCTCTAATTTTACTTTCAGTGAATAGTCTGCTTCTTTCTCTTACCAAATTTTCAGTTGCATTTCCTGTCTTTTTATTGTTATTTTCCAAGAGTTCTTGGCATACACTGGATATTAAATCCTTTGTGGGTGTTTTTTTTTTTTAGATGTTGCAAGGACATACTTC